AAACTTCCCTCATGCTTGTAACCATTGATTTTTTTTTAAATGACATGAAAACATTTTTCTTTATCTCATTATTTTGCTATAGAAAAACTGACCAATGCAGAGTATTTAAAAATACTAGTTAAGGTTTCTAAAGCAAACAGCTATTTAAAAGACTATGAAAAATATTAAGGTCACATTTATTTAAACAAAGCAGACAGTTAAGATAAGGAACTAGATAGTATAGAAATATGGTTTGACAAGAAAAAAATAAATATGGCAGAAACTTTGAAGTGAAAAAGAAAAGATTGTTGGCCTATATTACTTATCTGCTATGCACTGATTTTCAAGTAGCTATTTCCTATTATTGATATATATGGAAGCTATACAAAACATCCATTTTTTAATTAAGTAATCTTGTCAAAGGTAATAACTTTGGTGCCATTTTATATTCACCTATCATACTATCTCTCAAATTTCATTGTGTGTGTGTGTGTGTGTGTGTGTGTTCAAATATTTAATAATGGAAGCACAATCTTAGTTTTACCTTCATTTTAGATAATTAAGAATAAATAAATTGTTTTTTCTATTATTAGTTACATTTTATTAACTTTGTATTGCAACTGTATCCCGCTCCCTCATTCCTTCCCAATCCCACCCTTTCTCCCTCATCTCCTCCCTGCTCCTTTCCAAGTCCACTGATAGGGGAGGACCTCCTCCCCTTTCATCTGACCCTGTTTTATCATGTCAAACTAATTAAAATATTGTAAACAAAGTAAAGTGAACTATTTACCTGCTGAGTTTACTTTTTGCCATCAAATTCATTGCGAAACTTCTAATTTCCCACTGTATTTATTTCTTTTAATGAATTCTCAAACACAGTTTTATATGATCCAAAAACAGAGTTTTCAAAATTCTTTAAAGATAGTTCTCACAAATGCATTTGCTTTCCACAATTTTCTTATTTGTTGTTTTGAATTATGTAGATTTGATACTGGGCATGAATTGTGCACAGGGATCCCAGCACGGGGGGGCAGAGGCAGGCAATTCTTTGAGTTTGAGCCTAGACTGGTCTTTATAACAATTTTTTGACCAGCAAGGGCTACACAGTGAGACCCTGTCTCAAAAATAAATGTAAACATGCAAACACTATAAAGAATTTATTGACCCTAATGATTTCCAACTGTTTTCAGAAAGTAGAATTATAACGAAGTATTAACAAATCATTACTTACCCTGTACCCTTAATAACAGCAATAAAATTAACAAATTTAGTCAGCAATAAGGAAACTTGTGATAGGACATAAATTCTCCCAATTCAAGTGTTAGATCATAGATTGCAGCTTATATCCAATAATTCCAATTGTGTTCGATACCTTAGAGCCCGGGCAACATACCGCGTAGCAATTATTTGTTTTATTTGATAAGATAAATAGCTGAATAGCCAATGAAAGTAAAGAGAAGAAAGCCAGCAAAATGGTTCTGCAGAATAGTATTCCATTGTGTAGATATACATTTTCTTTATTTATGTATCAGTTGATTGACATCTTGGCTGTTTCCAGGAGTATTATTCGTCTGTTAAGAAAAATCAGATCTGCAGGAAAAAAAATGAAATGATTGGAACTAGAAACAATCATCCTGAGTGAGTGAAGTAATTCAGACCCAGAAATATTGTGCTTTCCACTAACTGCTGATGTTAGATTTTATGCTTTAGATATGTTTTTAGTTTAGAATATTCACAAAGGTTAGGTTAGCAAGGGACAAAGTAAGAAAGGATTATTCCAAAGAATGTAAACTAGAGTGTGGTGTTATACAGTGATAAAGAGGAAACTAGAATAAAAGGGTTAAAGGTGATGAAGAAACAAGAGCTGAGTAGGGTGTGGGATGTGGGCGGGGGTCTTTGTAAAAGCCACATGGAAACCTACTATTGTAGAAGCTTCCTAAAATAGACACTGTATAAAAGACAATGACCCAACTAGACACAATATTCTACTAAATAAAATTACCAGTTCTGGGAATACGTTGCATCATTTTGAGTACTTGGCCAAAAAAGTTCCCATAGAAGTTCTCCAAAACACTAAAAGCTACTGCAAGTGTTACCAGTTAGTTACTCTTCACAGCTTAACAGTTCTGATAACTATTGCTGATGACTCCACATACTTATGACATAGGACATGGAGAAATGCAGATGACACACACCTAGAAGCTTCACTCTTTCTGGTTCTTGGTGATAGAATGTGCTATCGATCTCATACTATAAACCCTGAAGTCTGTTATGAAGACCTGCCTGCAATATATGGCCACAGCTACAGTAGTGGCATGAATGCTAGGGGAGTAACCAACCATGTTTTTATTAAAATTAAGATCCACCTACTTGAGATGAAACACATATCTGATACTGTTAATGGTGCCAAGAACCTGAAGCTAAATAGGTCATTGGCCCAAGAGAAAACCTACTACTATTATTCTGCTGAATTAGAATAGCAATGAAATGACTCCTAATGACATATACCCATAGATCAGTGCGTTGTTCAACCCTCAGCAGAGAAACCTTTTCCAGTCGATGGGAATGGACGCATAGACTCACGAGTGCTTACCACCCAGAAAGTGAGAAACTTTGAAGTCATCATCCCAGAATGGAATGCCTTGATCATGCTTCTACCTTCAAAACTAAGGGTTCTATGCAGAAGGGGGAGGTGAAAAGATTGTACAAACAAAAAGGGGCGGATAATTCTAAGGAAACAGACTTTTCCAGACACGTGAAATCAAAGAGACGGGCAGTATGCACAAGAACTGCAGTTGGAGACTGGAAAAAAACAGGATAAACAACATACTATATAAAATTTTCAAAGAATACATAAACAACAACAAACAACATGGTTCATTGGGTGAAGGTGCTTGCCACATAAACCCGACAACCTGAGTTCGAGACCATCTTTAATCCACGTACAGGTGGAAGGAATGAATCAACTTCATGGAGTTGTCTCTGATCTCCACAAGTACTCACACACACGCTGCCCATACTTAGACATCACACACACACACACACACACACACACACGCATGCTATAATTATTATTATTAACAATAATATAAATGAAAGTTTTAAAGAGAAAAATGAAATATCTTACACAAAAGAAAATTTGACATTTTTAACTTCATTTCTTACATTTCTCAAATTTAATTAGAATATAACTATATCATTCCTCTTCCTTCTACTCCTCTCCTATTCCCCCCCTCAAATGCATGGCCTATTTCCTTTAATAATTATTATTATTATGTATGAATGTGAATAAATATATAACTGCAACCCACTGAGTCTGTTCAGTGGTGCTTGAATGTGTATGTTTTTAGGGATGACCACCTGGGATTGGATAACCATTTATGGTGATACCTATGTAAGACTGGTTCTCTTTTTCTCAGTGGTCCCTAATTTCTTGTAGCTTTTCATCTATGGTTGCGACTATGAGTTTTCCAGTCTTATTCTTGGCATGTCAACTCATGCAGTCATTTGCACAGTGGTATCACTCACTGGGCATAGGTTCCCTGTCAGACACAGTCTTTTCAATAATAATAGTAATAACTATTATTGTTATTACAATATATCCCGATTGAATCCCTCTCCCTCCACTTCTCCCGGTCCCACCTTCCCTTCTCTTCCCCCGTATTCCCTTCCCCTAGTCTACTGAAATGGGGAGTTCTCCTCCTGTGCCATCTGCCCACAGCTTATCAAGTCTCATCAGGACTGCCTGGATCCTCTTCCTCTGTGGCCTGCCAAGGCCGCATCACCAGGGGCAAGGGATCAAAGAGCAGGCAAGCCAGTTCATGACAGAGGCAGCGCTTGCTCCTCTTACTCAGGAACCCACATGCAGAACGAGCTGCCAATTGAGTACATCTTATCAGGGAATCTAGGTCTTCTCCAAGCATAGTCCTTGGTTGATATATCAGTCTCTGCAGGACCCCCAGGCTCAGGGTGTTTTAGCTTTGTTGGTCTCTTTGTGGGGCTTCTGTCCCCTCCATGTTCTTCTATCCACACATACCCCTTCCACAAGACTCCCTGCACTCTGCCCAAAGTTTGGTTGTGAGTCTCAGCATCTGCTTCTATCCCCTGTTGGGTGGAGACTTTCAGAAGACCCTCTAGAATTGGCTACCATCCCGTTCTTTGTCTCTTCCACTGCTTCTGGTGTCTATCCTTTTTGCCATTTTGAATGAGATTTAAGCATCTTCCCTAGGGTCCTCCCTGTTGTTTAGCTTCTTTAGGTCTGTAGATTTTAGTATGGCTATTTTATATTATGTGGCTAATATCTACTTATACTGGAAGATAAAAATCAAAAAGATTGTGTCAATCTGTAGAGGAGGACAATGAAGCCAGTCCTGATGAGACCTGATCAGCTAGGGTCAGATGGAAGGGTAAGAGGTCCTCCCCTATCAATGGACTTGGAGAGGGGCATGGGAGGAGATGATGGAGGGAGGGTGGGATTGGGAGGGAATGGGAGAGGAGGCTACAGCTGGGACAAAAAATGAAAAAAAGAAAGAAAGAAAGGAAGAAAGAAAGAAAGAAAGAAAGAAAGAAAGAAAGAAAGAAAGAAAGAAAAACTGAGCCCTGGAGGCCCTGCAGAGACTGATATCCCAACCAAGGACAATGCATGGAGAGAACTTAAAATTCCTGCTCAGATGTAGCCCATAGACTCACTCTCCAAGTCAGTTCCCTAATAAGGGGAGCAGGCATTTCTCTGGCATGAACTCAGTGACAGACTCTCTGGTCACCTCCTCCTGAGGGATGCAGCCTCTCCAGGCCACAGAGGAAGACAATGCAACCAGTCCTGATGAGACGTGAAATGCTAGGGTCAAACAGAAGGGGAGGGAGACCTCACCTATCAGTGGACTATGGGAGGCGCATAAGGGCGAAGAGGGATGGATGGTAGTATTGGGAGGAGACAAGGGAGGGTGGCACAGCCAGGATACAACTTGAATAAATTATAATGAATTATAATAATAAAACAATTAAAAAATCAGGAACAGCACCATTTGTTGAAGATCTTTTTTCCATTGTATGGTTTTGGCATCTTTATCAAAAATCAGGTGTCCATAAGTGTGTGGGTTTATTTCTTGGTCTTCTATCTGATTCCATTGATCCACCATTCTGTTTCTATGCCAGTACCATGCAGTTTTTATCACTGTTGCTCTATAGTACAGCTTGAGATCAGGTATGGAGATTCCTCCAGAAGATCTTTTATTGTAGAGGACTATTTTAGCAATTCTGGGTTTCTTGTTATTCTATATGAAGCTGAGAATTTTTCTTTCAAGGCCTGTAAAGAATTGTGTTGGTAATTTGATGGGAATTGCATTGAATCTGTAGATTGCTTTTGGTAAGATGGCCATTTTTACTGTGTTAAGCCTGCCAAGCCATGAGCATGGGAGATCTTTCCATCTTCTGATATCTTCTTCTAATTCTTTCTTCAGAGACTTGAAATTTTTTTCATACAAGTCTTTGACTTGTTTGGTTAGGGTTACTCCAAGGTACTTTATGTCCTTTGTGGGTATTGTGAAGGGTGTTGTTTTCCTAATTTCTTTCTCAGCCCTTTTGTCTTTTGTATACAAGAGGGCTACTTTTTTTTTTTTTTGAGTTAATTTTGTATCAGGCCACTTTGCTGAAACAAACAAAAAGGAGAAGGAAATCAACAAAATGGTTCTCTATCTGAAGATGGAAATGGAAACATTTAAGAAAACAGAAACTGAGGAAATCATGGAGAGGGAGAACTTAGGGAATAAAACAGGAACTATGGAGGCAAACATATCCAACAGATTATGAGATGGAAGAAAGAATGTCAGGTGTTACAGATACAATGGAAGAAATCGATGAAGAAAATATTAAAGAAAATATTGAAGAAAATATTAAATCTAAAAAATTCCTGATTCAAACCATCCAAGAAATCAAGAACAAGATGAAAAGATAAAACCTAAGAATAACAGGGATAGATAAAAAAGAAGGTTCCTGTCTCCAAAGCCCAGAAAATATTTCAACAAAATCATAGAAAAAAATTTCCTCAATTTAAAGGAGAGGCCTATAAGCATACAAAGGCTTACAGAACACCTAAAGATTAGGCATAAAGGAAAATCCTCCTGCCACATAATAATCAAAACACTAAATATATAGAACAAAGCAAAAATACTGAAAGTTTCATAGTAAAAATGTCAAGTAACATATAATGGCAAAACCATAAGAATCACACTTGACTTCTCAATAGAGACTATGAAAGCAGAAAGGGCCTACGTGGATATTATGCAACTGTAAGAGAACACAGATGTCAGCCCAGACTACTATACCCAGCAAAACTCTCAGTCATCATAGATGGCTGATATTCAAAGATATTGAATATTCAAAAAGATATTCAAAGACAATAAACAAATTTAAACAGTACCTACCTACAAATCCAGACTTACAGAAGATACTAGAAAGAAAAATACAATCCAAGAAGGCTAACCACACCCAGGAAAACACAGGAAATAAATAACCTCACTACAGCAAAACTAAAAGTAACCAAGCACACAAACACACTACCACGACCAACATTAAAATAGAAGGATCTAACCATCAATGGTCATTAATCTCTCTCAATGGGCTCATCAATGGGCTCAATTCTCCAATAAAAAGACACAGAATGGATGCATAAACAAGACCCAACATTCTGCAGTGTAAAAGAAACACACCTCAGTCACAAAGATAGACATTACCTGAGAATAAAGAGCAGACACAGTCTTGTAACAAAGTTGCTTATCCTCTTATTCTTAGAATCTTTTTGCTCTCTTTTTTGTGATGTTATCTGAGCCTTAGGTGTAGGGGTCGTGCTGTAGATCTATTTGGTGATGGGAACTGAGTTGGTTACTGACTTTTGAACATTGTGGCTCTCTATGATTGTCTCTCCTTTCTGTAGAAAAAGGTTTCTTTACTGAAGAGTGAGAAACACAATCATTTGTAGATACAAGGGTAAATATTGCGAATGCAGTGAGGAATTATAGTGGTTTAAGGAAGAGGTTGTGTTCTCCTCTAAGCTGGATGGCCTCAGTAACTACGAGACTAAGTATTCTATGCGGGAATCATTTCTTCCTGTTGAGCAGTTATGTCCAATTAGACAGCTGTTCATTACCACCAAGGTATAAGTGCCGCTGTTTCACCTTTGCTGATATCTTGCCCTGCTTCTCAGTGTAGTGGTTCATAGGTATCACAGCTGGTTAGGACTATTGATTGCTTTCCTTACTTGGGCAGCTTGCGTAGCATCTTCAGGCACTATGAAAGTTAGCACTCACGAAGGAGGCTTTCAAGTCAGATAGGGCTGGAATCCTCTGATTCCTGTGTCTTATAAGGGTGGAGTCTGTACCAATCTGACGTACCTTTAGCCTCTGGAAGTAACCAAGGTAACAGCAATAACATATTTTGAAGGGGAAATCTCTTGGACTCCCCTGACCAACAACTTTCATTTTTATCATTTCCATCTTTATATAACCTATATCCTATTCCTATTCCTGGGGAGTAGCAACAGAAAAATCATCAACCTTTTTTTATTTGGTTTTGTTTTATGTTTCTGAAAAGAGCAAATGCTTTCTATATATAGTAAAAAGTGCTGTGATTCATACCATGTAACAGTCTCAAAGCTGAGCCTACATGTCTCAGACAGCATTCCTTGGTATTGCTGATACAATGGGCTTTTGAGTGCAAAGTGCCTATGCTGTGTTTGAGAACCATGGCTGCACTGAAGTCACACAGCACAGCACAGGCAGGCACTACTGAACACTTTGAATTCATCATGAATTTAAGTTTGAAACAGGTTTTGATGATTGAGCCTCTAGAAATCGTTTGCTGTTTCCAAATTGTCACAAAGCCAAAGTTCAGTTATGATAACTGAACTGAGTCAGGTCTCCTCTAATACCTTAATATCTAAAGTTTTCATCCTTGATGACAGTTGGTTATGGAAGTGATTGTGTTCCAAGCTCTACTGAAAAAGCAGTATAGACAGAAATAGTGATGTTTATTAATTCTTTGACATTTCAGTGCTTCGGTAACTTACCGCACTAGTCATGCTGGGTAGCTGGCCTCTACGTCATTAAATATGTCACTGTCAAAGAAATCTCCCACAGACCTTCCAGCAAACAACCATGCAAAGTTGTACCAAAGGTAACGTTGGCAGACACTGAAATCCTGAAAAATTCTACCATGTATTAGCTATTTCCAAAGAAAACATTTATGTTGCCAGGAAACGCTTAATGCCTCCTGGTGAAGATTATGTAAGAAGCACTTATTTCTTAGAAAAAGCCCTAGCTTTTTATTTCAAGAAAAGAGTTGACAAGAAATGGGTTGAATATTTCAGTTATCCTTGGATACACTTTCTTCCTTAACATCTAAAGTTAACATATACTCCCTGTATTCCATCTAATCTATTTTTGAAATACACAAGCAAGCTTTCAATCCTGCCTTGTAAGTATTCCTGGAAGTTTATCCTTACTGAACATCTCCTTTATTTAGCTCTTTACAATACCTGATTGTATGTAACATTAAATGATATTTTGTCAGTAATTATCTATACTAGTTTAAAATTCTCTTAGCAGCGAGGAAATAAAATTGGATAAAGCAGGAGGCTAATATATATCCCACATCCAGGGCCAGGCAGGAAACATCAGCATAGCCAGGTTCTACCTGGCTATGTCCATCCTCTACATGTAGCAGTTTTAATCACGCTTTAATCATACTGTAGTCCAACCACTTCATGTAGGCAAAAATACTGTCAAGTTATCCCAGTCACTCTCATAGTGTGGACACTGACCAATGGGAAAATCCCTTGAGAGTGTATCTGACCTGCTCCCTTCTAGAGCAACTGTTTCCAGCAGGGGTATGGCAGCACTGGAGAAGTATTTGGGGCATTTGTGACAAGGGTTTTCATTCTTAGAATAATTGGAATATATCAGCACTCAGCAGTCAGGAAGTGAAGATAATGAGTACCCTAAGATATACAGAACAATCTCACAAAGTGAATTTTACTTTCTCAAATGAAACTCTAACAATCTACTAGATATCCAGGCAACCACCTGAGGCCAGAACACTCCTGGTCTTACTTATTTTAATATTTGCCAAACTTTGCTAGTAAGCACCTTGCTTTATTTTGTTTAAGGTTTTATCCAGAGTTCAGAAATATTATGTCAACAAAGCCACTTTTGACATATGAAGCACAAATATAATTGATGTGTGTCCACCAGATTTGGTAAGTGTGCTAATCATAGTGAGTGTAAAAGTAAATTTGTTACATGAGTTTGGATAACAGAAATAAATCTTTACAGGCTGACTCAGAGTACCAGGCTAGGAGGAGGCTAAGAAAGGGGGTCGTGACTGACTGTAAGTCCAGCCTGAGGTAAGAGTGAGTTTGAGGTCAGCCTAGTGTTACGTATTGCCTAAAAACTGGCATATTCTTTTAAACAGACTCTCATGTTGGAGTTTTTAAAAAGCCACTGAGAAAACTTAAAATGTGCTGCAAGCATGCTATACTCTGAGACCAGCCTGTGACTTTGATTACCAATCTATGCTAATAAACTTAGAAATTGAGAATGAGGACTTACTGATTTTTATAGAAATTTAACTCGGAAATTTCAGTCTGATAAATCTAATAATGAAATTACATACTTTTATTTCGTATTCAGTTTTTTTTTTATATTCTAGAAAACGTATATTTATTGTACTTTGTAAAGCACAATACAAATAGTTTAAAAATTTGGGAAAACTGTCTTTTCTTAATACTCAGTTTGAGAAGCAGTGGTCTATAAAGTACACGTTTAAAGTAGATTCCAACAATGACAATTTACGGATGGAATGATGAGTGAAGTAAATAGAGTTGGAGTAGCAATCTTCATTGAAATTCCAAAGAATTTCAATTAAAGATAAAGCAATGTCTATTTTATTAGATATTAGAATGGCTACTCCAATCCCCATCCAGAAAGGCAAAGAGGATGGACATCAGAAGAAAGAGAAAACTGGGAATAAGTTAGGAGCTGCCACAGAGGACCTCTGAAAGGCTCTACCCTGAAGACTATCAAAGCAGATGCTAAGACTTATGGCCAAACTTTGAAGAGATTTCAGGGAATCTTATGAAAGAAGTGGGAGTTAGTAAGACCCAGAGGGGACAGGAGCTCCGCAAGGAGAGCAACTGTTCCAAAAAATCTGGGCACATGGGTCTTTCCTGAGACTGATAGTCCAACCAAGTAGCATGCATGGAGATAACCCAGAACCCCTGCACAGATGTAGCACATGGAAGTTCAGTCTCTGAGTGGGTTCCATAGTAATGGGAACAGAGGCTGTCTCTGACATGAACTGATTGGCCTTCTCTTTGATCACCTCCCCCTGAAGGAGGAGCAGCCTTACCAGGCCACAGAAGAAGACAATGCAGCCACTCCTGATGAGACCTAACAGACTAGGATCAGAAGGAAGGAAAAGAAGACCTCCCCTACCAGTGGACTTGGGGAGGGGCATGCATGGAGAAGGAGGAGGAAGGGAGGGATTGGGAGGGAGGAGGGAGGGAACTACAGGGAGGATACGAAGTAAATAAAGTGTAATTAATAAAAAAAAATAAAATAAAATAAATCACCAGGAACAAAAAGATAAAGCAATGTCTTTAAATATATGCAGTGGTGCAATTATACAAGTAAAACTGCTGTTTTACCATATTCCCAAGAGGAGATGAAGGCAGAAAGACAGCAAGTGAAATACACAACATCTAAATAACTCAGCTATCTCACACTATTACTCATTAAAGGTTATTTGTTTCACATTAGTAGATAATATACATTTTGAAGAAAACACTTGGAACATTTATGCATATTGGTTTTGTATTTATCCACAGAGGAAAATCAACAAGTCACATAGTAGATGTTCTCTGAAAACAAAACAGCAAATTAATAACTAAGGCCTAACTAACTTGTATATCAGGGTTGGAGATCCGGCTCCGCAGCTAAGAACACGCACTCTTGTTGAGGAACCAAGCTAGGTTTCTTGCATCCATATGGGGCTCACAATAGTCTTTAACTCCTATTGTAAGAGATCTGACACCCTCTTCTGTCTTCCTCAGTCACCAAGCATGAGTTGGATGCACATACATACATACATACATGAGCAAATTTGTACACATAAAAGTAAATAAATCTTATTTGTATGTATCAAATACATAACTAGTGTGCTTCTTTGTTTTCAAAGTAAAAATCAATGGAAATTTTAAAAGTAGTTCTAATTAAACAAGATTAAAAGAATATGCAGACCAAATATTGCAGAAAAATGAAATAAAATGGAGGTGAACATTTAACTCAATAAGTTTGAGTATATAGATAGAACTGGAGCACAAAGAAAAGAAAAACATAACAGATCCATAAAAAAATGTGAGATGAACAAGAAAGCAACTGGAAAAACTCAGAACTTGGACAAAATAAACAGGATGAACTTTTACCTAGACAAATTAAGCAAAAAGAAATGAAAGTAAAAGAAAGTCCAGTGGTGTTAGGATTATATTACAGAAACAAAGGACTTTTCAAATCACATTTAAAAAACATTCATAGGCTATTAAGTTTGAAGACTTCGGAAAATGGACATATGTCTTTCAAAACTGTGACACAACAATAGCTGAAAACATGTGTGATTATTAGAAATTCTATGATAATAATTACAGAAAATAATGGATTTTAGAGTTGGTGGTGGGGAGACACAGACGGAAGTTACATGGGAAGAGAGGGGGGAAGTGAAAAAAAGCAGGAAATAAATAGATAAACGGAATTAATCCTAAACAAACAAGCAAACAAAAAAAAGATTCCCCAAAAGAAAACTGAGTACAAGCAAATAACCTCAAAATCCAGACTCAAATGGTTTATGGGTTAATTTAATAAGCCTTTCAAGAAAGAGATGAAATGTGATTTCGGTAAGGATGAAAAATACACTGCTGTGGTACATGCTGTTATTAAATCAACAGAGAAGGAAGCTCTGAGTACCTCAACACATGCACAGCTGGAGGAATTCCTAACTGCCAGCAGGTGAACTCCCCAGCATGAATGGGACCACATGCTGGGTGGAGCTGGAGGGAGCTTTGTGTCTGCTGCAGTCTCCTTTGTTCTCATGTGCTTGTCCATATGACCCAAACAAGCTACTCCAATGCAGTATCTGAGCCTGTACATATACATCATGTATGAATATCAATCTGTGAGGCATTCCTACGTTCTAATTAGCCCAAACTGACTTCTTGCATAAGCTTCTCACCAAACTACCTATATGCCTACACTTGCAATTCAAATTGCCATGTAAGCTACCATTATCTGTTCTGTCCTTACAAAGAAAAAACAAAACGAACAAACAAACCAACCAAAAACCTCCCAAACTCACGATTGACAAAGTAGGCTCTGCTATCTCTTTTGAAGTTGCCTTCTTGTCAATAAAGCTTACACGTTGAAATGAATGCTGCTCTGTATAATGTTCGGATTATATTGCACATTTACAGCTGGAACAGATACTAAAACCCGCCATAAAGAACACTTACTCTCTGTGTGCAGCAGCTGCTTCAGGAGCTGCCTAGCCCTCACACTTCCATCTTTCTTGTTTAACTGTGCATATTTTTGAGGAGTTTGGGGCCGGAAGGCAAAGGATTCTTTCTTCGTGTTGGGTTCGGATGGAAGTTACTGGAATTGGAGAAACAAACATTAAAGCGTGTTGATGCTCAAGGGTTGCATCATCTTAAATGGCATCAATATTTAAAATAATTAGGCTGGCAATTACAGGTGAAAGGCAATAGCAGATGATAAAAAAATAACTCCCTAAATGTCATAGATGTTGTTCATAAAGATAGACCTACGGCCAAAATGAGATTTCTCACCTGAAGTCCCTCAGAAGACAGAGTGCATGTTTTCTTCCTGGTGGAGACATTTCAAATTTCAGTTCTGTTATTTTCTTTTACTGGGGAAAATATATCTATTCCAGTAGGTTGTTATAAGTAACAGTGATAACAAATGAGGATTTATTTTGTACAGTGGTGCGTATGATAGAGTGTATAGATTTAAATATCTATCCAAAATTATCTTTAATTTTGTGTATCTATCTACCACCTCACCCTTCAAGGGAGTGGAGTGTGCCTGCTTTTGAATGCATTCAGCGAAGTCAAGCCTGAATTCCTGGGATGACTCCACGAGTCTTGGGATCACCACAAAACTTGCCCAGGGAACCATTCTGTCATCTGTGGCTTTGAGGCAATTTTTCATGGTTCACTGTAATCATTGAGAAACTTGAAGAGAAAAGATTAGTTAGCTGATAATGATTATCACATTTTTTATAGCTGCTGCAATCTGAGTGGCCCCGAGATTTCTGCTCTTCTGGGGGACCGTCTCCGTTAGTAACCAAAGAAATTAAGCCATGGCCACATCTGCAAAAGAGTAAGGAACAGTCTTTTCACAAATATTTCTGAGTTTCCCTAGGGGAGAATTTTCATCTCATCTCTTAAATGACATTTCTGCACATATATTCTTTCCTGGGAGGCCCCTGCTTGGGTTGACTGCTTCTCCACGCTTCCCTACCACCTAACCACAAACCAAGAATTCGGTTTTTGGTAAGATGAAAATAGAGATGGAATTTTCATTCATCCGTCATCGATGCATTTGAAAATGTTGTCCAGGAGCTATGAGGCTAAAAGAGTGATTGTGCGAGTGAAACAGGCAGTCTCCAGGCTCCTTGAAGGGTGTAGCTGAGACTGGGTGAGACGGATCTTAAACAAAGAACTACATAATAATTTTAAATAATTAATTATACTTGTGAGACTTACTAAAAGATGAACTGAGGAATATTCCTGCGACAGAATAAACAGCGACCTGTTGGTTTAGCTGGAAGCTGAAGTTTCCCAGGGAACAGAAGAGCATTGTAGCCGTAGGTAACTACACTATGAGGATCAGAGAGTAGAAAGCCTGAGGAACTGTAGGAGGCCAGTTGGATGAAGCAACTGAACGAGACGGACAGAGGCATAAGTGAGGCTGGAGAGAGAGAGCGGGACCAGGTCATAAAGTGACTTGCTTGCTTTATGAAGTGTCTCAGCATGGGCCCTAAGAAACGAGAAGCAACTTATGAATAATTAGTTTCGAACGTGACATGACCTAGAGCATTCTCAGAGATGTCTCGGTATGAAGAGACACCCAACAGTAAATTTAGTGAGATCTATACTCTATCAGGAAATAGTCTTTAAATTTTTCCCTCAAACACTTGCTAAACAGTCTTCTATCTGGCTGCAGAGGATCAAGTATCTTCGTCCTCTCAGAAGCATCTTATGTGTGTGAGAAGCAGACCTCAGGCTCCTAAGAGAGATGCTTAAAAAGAGAAAATAAATATTTCAGTATTTAGAAATTACCTCAGTGGATCTAAGTGCTTAGTACGAGGTTGCAATCTTGGTTTTGGCCTGGGAGGAACTGAACAGTCGTCTCCTTGTTCTTGCTTCAAGGAAAAGCCAGGGAAACAGAAATGGGTGGTGTTACTTAGTTCTGTCCAGGAACTGAGGAATTACTGCAGACAGCCAGGCCAAAGTCACGAAGCAGGCCCAGACAGAACATGGCGATGTCATTACCTGGGGTCACTTCCGTGGTGACTGATCAAGTGTCAGGAGGCTGAGTTTGATGCAAAGGGTGAGATGAGAAAGTTCCGAGGCCTTAGTTTTAGGGGAGCTGAATCACCTGTTACCGTTTGCCATCAGGACCACTATGCAGTTCTTGTGCGAAACCTCCTGGTTTGCCAGTTACAGCGCTCTCTCCTCAGCTTTCTCTAAGACTAAGATGTTCTAGAGAAAAACAGTCTGCTGACTCTTTCTCCTTGCCAAAGCAAAGGGATTCCTCCCTTTCTTGAGAAGCTACAATGGACAGATCTTGATGGAAGTAGATTGGGAATGTTGTTGCCACAAAGTAGAGCAATGGGAGGCCATAAGAATATACTAATAAATACACAAAGTTTTCTTTCGTCTTACATCTTGACCATAGTCTCCCCTCTCTCTACTCCTCACATTTCTTCTTCCCCCACCTACCTTCCCTCTGCTCACCCATCCCCCATCCAGTTCTCCTCCTTTTCTTTTCAGAAAACAGTAGGCATCCCATGGATATCAGCCAAACATGGCATAATCAGATTGCAGTAAGACTGGGCACCTCCCATCATATTAAGTCTGGATAAGGTGACCCGGTAGGAAAAAAGAGTCCCATACAAAAGGGTCAGAGACAGCCCCTGCTCCCACTGTTACAAGTCCCACAAAAAGACCAAGCCATACAACAACTTCAACACATATGAAGAGAGCCTAGGTCAGTCCCATGCAGGCCCTCTAGTTGTCAGTTAAGTCTCTGTGAACCCCTTTGAGGCCAAGTAAGTTGATTCTTCTGGGTGTTCTTAGCCTCTCTGGCTTCTACAATCCTTATTCCCCCTTTTTTACAGGATTCCCTTTGAGCCACCTAGTGTTCGGCTGTGAATTTCTGCTTCTGCTTCTATCAGTTGCTAGAGGAAGCCTTTCTGGTTATAATTGGGCTAGGCAACAATCTTTGAGCATAGCAGAATATCATTAGAAATTATTTCATTGATTTTTTTTTCTTTTTTGCCAGCCATAGTTGGTTCTATCCTCTGGGTCCTGGACCTCCAGGCAATATCAGGGGTGGCTTCCTCTCAGTGTAAGGTCTCAAGCTGGACTAGTCATTGGTTGTCCACTGTCACAGTTTCTGTGCCACCTGTACCCCAGCATACGTTATAGGCAGGGCAGGGAGTACTGAAGGTTTTGTAGATGGGCTGGCCTCTCAGGCCCTCCATCGGGATCCTTGTCTGCTTACAGGAGGTAGCCAGTTCTGTATGCTGCTCTGTATGCCTGATTTAAATGTGTGGCTTCCGAAGAAAGCACTTTAAAGGAAAGGGAAACAAAAGGCAAATATCAAAATCAGACTCAGATGAGATCCCGATATTAGAATTATCAGTTGCAAATTTAAAATAATAATGTGTCGAACAGATGAGTAATATTATCAGACTATGAATATCTAAAAAATGACCAAAGAGAAGTTGTTGAACTAAAAAACTGAATATGAAAATACAGACAGATTTCCAAGGTCTCATCAGCAGATCTAATGAAGATGGGAAAAGAATAAGACACTTGAAAGAACAATATAAATGTCCCAAACTAAAACAAAAAAAAGAAAATAATAATAAACAAGCAGACATCCATGGATCATGGGAAAATAATACAAGATATACCGACACAGACTAAGTAGAACTCTTAGAACATTATTGAAGCTCTATAAACACATTGACAAATGAGACTTAATATTTAGTTAACATTACATAAAATTTAAAATTTTTCTCTGACTGGCTTTATGTCAAGTGTTCGGCAGCATGTGTATTTAGCAGCTACCATTTAAGAAAACACAGAGATGAATAACACACTGCACTGTGAAAAAACCCTACTAGAGAAGATCATATAGAAACAATACTGTCAAGAGTCCTGTTCCTCCAGTAACAAAGATTTGTGTCCCTGTTCTCGATAAAGACCAACTAGGTGAAGTACTGACTGTAAGCAAAGAAACCATCAAGAATAAATATCATGAATACTGCTTTACACTTCGCTAATAGCTCCAAAAATGAATCTGTCCATGAATCATTTATTCTGTGGACTCCAGAGTTGTGTTTCATGAATGTTTACTTGTTAAGCCTCCCAGTGTTTGTTTTCTTTGTTAAACTAGTCTGTTACAGTTTGCACATGAGATGTCTCTCATATGCTCATGTGTTTGAACACTTGTTTTCCAGCTAGTAGTGATGGTTGGAAAGGTAGACCCTTTCTCAAAGAATTAGGTCACTGGGGATGACCCTGAAGGTTTAACACCCAAGTAGTGCTACTCTCGGCCACGCTCTTAGAAGTTTCTTTTTGAAATGGGTGGCTGTTATTTCGAGGACTCACTGCTGGTCAAAGGATGGAGAATAAGAGACTTTTGAAATTCTTTGTCCTAAAGGGGACGATAACACCATCCCCTACAAAGCTCAGGGAATGCTGTAGAAAGGGAAGGAGACTGAATATGAGAGCAAGAGGTTAGGAAGGAATACTGAGATACAACGTTCTCTGGATATGACATGGCTACTGCACTCATAAACTTGCTGCATTATAGATAGCTACGAAATACGTCCACAATACTGAATTTAAAAGAAACACCGTGGAATATAAAGGGTCAACTTAAGAGTAACATCTGACAAAAGGGCCATAAACTCAAGTGAACTCAAAGCTCACTGGCCAAGCAGTTTAAGGTTGAATATGATAAATGTTCAGTCTTTTTCTTAAGAATCTATATGAGTCTAACCTACTTTAATATAAATGTCTTGATGGATAACAAAATAAACACATAGCCAGTGACTTCAAACAATTAGGGTTCATATAGAGCACAGTACTGTGGGGTAGATAGTTAAGCTAGAGGTTCTTCTGACCCTGTTATTCTTTCTGACATGTCTAATGGGCCGCTCTGACAACATGTGCAGCTCATCAAGCAGGTCACTGCAGATGTGATGATCTCTTGGTGAAGGCAAAGGAGTAGGGAAAGATTAGTTACGTGTGCAGCACTTCTAGAGACTTAGAGCTAGACACTAGCAGTTGAACTGTGTTCTGTTGGAACACATGCCACAGGCTATCAAGGACAATACAGACTTGAAACATTTTCATTTCTTCATCAGGGTCAGGAGTCATATTTGCTCTCAATTTTACTAATTTACTAATAATGGAATGAATGTTTACAATGAAATGCATGAGGTAAGGTGTTTGTGTGTTAAGTCACACTTTGCAGTTTTAGCTCACATAATCACAGCATTACAGAGTGAGATGCATGACCTACATGAGAAAGAAAAGAGAGAAAAAAAACTGAATGAAGTCCATTGAGGATAACTACTCATAGCAAAGCTTGCATCCTTTTTCATCTGAGTGAGGATGAAAAAACATTATCAAAATGTATAACCAAGAGGTTTTGTACTTGAGTAGAGATAGTATATGATAAATTAAAATAAATATTTCAGTGAGGGAGTATACGTGTGTGTCTGTGTACGCATATATGTGTATGTGGACTCACAGTGAAAGTAAATATTACACTAAAGCTAGAAAGAGAAAACAACATTCCATCATCTTTTAATCAATGAAATAAAATAAAATAAAATATCATGAATAAAATCAGGAGGTAACTGTAACTCCAGCATTTGGGAGGCTAAGGCAGGAAGACGGCAATTTGAGAATCAGTCTGGGATACATAGTAAGACACCATCTCAAACAAACAGCCAAAAGAAAAAGATTAGAACAATATAACGAAGTAAACAGTAAGACAGAAAAACAAAGGCAGCTAATTATTTGTGTGTGTGAGTCCCTTCTCTATCTCCTTGCTTTCCTCTTCTCCTTTGTTTTCACAAGGGATCTGTCTAAAGAAGGCTAAGTTATGCATTTTTATATATTTAAAAAAAATTATCACCAGAAAAGACACATACAAATAAAAAGTCTCAACATGTGAGCTGTAGAGATGAGTTAGCAGTTGAGAACCCTGGCTGCTCTTGCAGAGGAAATGGGTTGAATCACCAGTGCCCACATGACAGCTAACAACCATCTTATTTAAATCCAATTCCAGAGGATCTATGCTCTCTCCTGTCCTTCACTGGCATCAGATACATGTGCACAGACATACATGTGGTAAAACACTCTTAAAACACAAAATAAAAATAAATCTTAAAAGAAAACAAAATAAATGAATAAATCTTTTCTTAAAAATTCCCAACACGGGGCTGGAGAGATGGCTCAGTGGTTAAGAGCACTGTCGGTTCTTCCAAAGGACCCAGGTTCAATTCCCAGCACCCACATGGCAGCTCACAACTGTCTGTACCTCCAGTTCCAGGTGATCTGACACCCTCACACCAATGCACATAAAATAAAGTTAAATAAATTATATATTTAAAAAAATTCCATTTAAAAAAAATTCCCAACACATAAAATTTAAAAGTTCAATGAACATCAGAAAATTTACTAAACAATTATACAAATATTGTTATGGTACCTTCAAGGTAAAATAAAATTCCTCACTTAGTATAATTATAGTTAAGTTGTAAAATGCAACAGAGGACTAAAGAAAGAAATGATGAGTTGTTGGTTAGAAGCTATGCAAATATGCGCTTCCATTATTGGTTGATTTTTATAAGCCTTCATATTTATGGACTTCTTTTGTAATCAGTTATAGTATCTGATCATCCATGGAAACATAGGAAATTTGAAGTTTCACTGACTTCAAAGATAATAATAACTAACCTAACCAACCATTCAGATCCTTCTCTTTCATAAAGAGTTAGATAAATGCATAATGACCTCAGGGTAGAAGGTCACTACCTATTTTGGGACAACAAGCAAGAAGGAAAGTATTAACAGAACATGATACCTCTGTTCTCAAGCACTTGCATAAAAGCACAGGTTCAATTCCCAGCAAGAGAGAGGGGGTAGAGTGAAGAGAGAGAGGGTCTGGGAGAGATGCAAGGAGACAGCAAACCAGATGTCAGTGAAGTATCCATCTAATAATGACTTTAAATTCAGTAACTTTTAACAGAGAAGAACTGTGATTCCTACTCTTCATGCTTTATTTTATTTTCATACTTCAAGGGACAAGAGTATGTATTAGCTGGGCTAAAATAAACGCTGAGGAACAAGAGGTGTAGCACTGACCTATAGTCCTCAGAAAGTAATCTATGGTTCTGGGGAAGTCCAGTGTGGAAGTGTTGGTCATAAAAGCTTGGATGGTGTTCACCACCTCCGTCTACTCCACGTTCAGAATCACCCACAAGGGTTTAGGGATGGCAAGGACATAAACGGGGAAACTTGCTCTCGGAGGTCTGGTGGGTTTGTCACGGAGCCTTTCTATATAAATAAAAGAGACACGGAAAATGGAAATTGCATTACTTTTAGTGCTGTGTTAAAAGAGAAAGGTCAAGTTAACCCCTTAAGAATTCAATGAGCAACATGATGTACTATGCGTCCGGCAGAGCAATCCCCGGATGGCCCTTATGGACATCTGGTGTGAATCATCCATCTTTTTTGCCCCATTAAAATCACTGGCACCTCATTAAAAGAGTTCGGCAGCTGAGCGCACACTTGATGCAGTCTTCAAGGGGTTAACGGAAATAGCTGTAGGGATCAAGAAGGTTTCTGTCTTCTAGGGCACATCCACACCCAGACAAAGAAGCCAGTTGAAGCATTTCCAGACCATCTAGTTCCCTGTCAAGATGAGAAAGGTATAGCCATGTTTGTGAAATGGGATTTTTAAAAAAAACTAATCTCTCCAGACTCTCTAAGTGTTAGCAGTTACATCTCTTAGGATTCGATGATTTCTTGGTTAGTAACAGGGATTCTGCGGGTACCTTAACCTTGACCTGAGAGTAGCAGTGAGTTCATAACAGGGTGTTTCAGATAGTCCTACTGAGTGCTTTGAAGGGTCACATCACAGTGACCCATCATTCTGCTTCCAGTCAGGTAGCTTTGGAGTCCGCAAAAGCAGGACCCCACATGCTTTCACTGACCAAACAGAGAAACATCAGGGTCCATCTGGATTCTGGTACTGTTCTGACCTTATCCCTCCTTATCTTCTCCATCTTCCTCCCTGTTTGTTTTCACCCTCTACCTGAGAATCTTTTAAAGCATGTCTAGTCTGTCCTTAGAAGGAAAGGTATTTCTGGTACGTAGATCAGGTTTTTGAAATAATAGTTAACAGTATCTTTACTTACCTATAACAACAGTACAAAAATAGCTCCTGTAGAAACAGAGTGTCACCTGTTATAACGTCACCTGTTACAGAGATGGACCCAACCTCAAGGTTTCCACACACCTTACATTTTAACAAGGTAAATCCTTCACTGATAGGTTACTAGCTGCTTGTGTTGGCTTCTACCAAACTTCTTCATGGGTTTAGAAACCACTAATAGAAGTAAGCAATAAATCAGCAAGATATGTAAAACTGTTCAACTCAAACAAAAGGTCAACTGGGTTAAACTTGAATCGCCAATGAATTGTAAGAAAAACAAAAACAACAGTTCCCTACTAATTACAAAACTACACCCTGTGTGTCCACATTTGCCCATTGCTGATAGGCCTGACTGCGAGCATTTTATATCTATCACATCAGCGAAAATGATAGACATAATGTGAGTATATGAATTCATAGTCACTATTAGAAGGAAGATGTGGTATCTATTTGAATGAAAAATTGAAGCTACAAAAACATATGGTTCTATTGCTCTGCTTTTCAGGATTTTTCATTCAAAAATACCTAAGATCGGGGCAAGAGGTATGGCTCAGTGGTTGGTTAAGAACACTTGTTGCTCTTGCAGAAAACCCAGATTAGGTTCCTAGCAGCCATGTAGTGGTTCAAACAATCTGTAATTCCAGCTTCAGGAGATCTGAACTTTGTAGGTACCAGACATACATTTGAGACACACACACACACACACACACACACACACACACACACACACACGTAAACACTCATACATATTTATAAATAAGTTTAAAAAGTATGTACCAATTCTTTTCAACAAGTGTATTTACATAATATTATATAACAGCTAAATCCAGAGAAAGAAAAAATCCAACTAAAATTTAGGTATCTAAATTGCTTAAATAAGTTATGGCATACCAATATGGTCTATTATTCTGAAACCTTAAAAAAAGAACATAACATAATATTTTATGCTATATAAATACATGCTTGCAATTTTATCAAGAAGATCTCAAACAATATAATCAAGAAGGAAGATCTTAAACAATGAAATGAGTCTTTATAAGAATATTTCAGTGTACTCATAATATACACAAAATATATATCATAAAACATGTCATGGCAAAGGTATAGGTATAGGATTGATGTATCTTCTTCTCTTGGCTTATTTCTTTAATCTTCTAATTATAACAAATACCCCACTAGTGTCTTCAAAGTTTCAGAAAACATAACCAATGCTAACTTGTAGAAAGAAAATATATTGGAGTTTCAGAGGACCGACATTCCAGGTTCTGTACAGGTGACTTTTTCTGAGCTCTCCTACATGGAGAAGTGTTGTACCTAAGCAGAAAAACAGTGTGGTAAACAAGAGTGGAGTGTCTGAGTGTGCTTGATGAGTCAGCTTAGGCACATTGGAAGGAATAAATTTGTCTCGGTGCTCTGCTGCAGCATTACTGACCAGTCCATTCTGATGTTTTCTATCCTGACCATCACAAGATGGCTCTGACCATTCCAGAAGACTCCATATTCTTTCTCCAAGTTCAGAGGTGAGAATTAAATCCAAGCAACAGTCTTGAGACCCTAACAAAACTAACAAGTGCTTGTTCCAGAGACCTTTCCTACAGGAGATGTAATTTAATATGTTGGTTTGTATAAAACCTTCAGTGAATTCCTAAGAACTGTAGCATCAGCCTCATAAAAATCACTTGACTGGAACTGGAAAAGGAGACTTTGTTTTCTTGTTTGCTTGCTTGTTCTTAAAGATTTATTTGCTTTCATTTGATGTGTATGTGTATTTTGTTTGCACGTATGTCTGTGCCTGGTGGCCACCAAGGCTGGATGAGAACATAGACTTCCCTGAAACTGGAGTTACAGACTGTTTTGAGCTGCCATGTGTGTGTTAGGAACAGAAAGTGGGTCCTCTGAAAAAGAAATCAGTGCCTTTAACTTCTGAACTATCTCACTAGCTCCTGGTTTGTTGTTAAGAGGTGGAATGGAATTTTATATAAGAAGTGGGAAAAAGTAAGAGCTGGAGGGGACGGGAACTCCACAAGCAGAGCAACAGAACAAGATAATTTGAACACAGGGAACTTCCCAGAGACTCATACTCCAACCAAGGACTATTCGTGGAGATGACCTGGAACCCCTGCACAGGTGTAGCCCATGGCAGTTCAGTGTCCAAGTGGGTTACATAGTAATGGGAAGAGGGACTGCCTCTGACATAATCTGATTGGCCTGCTCGTTGATCACTTCCCCCTGAGGGGGGAGCAGCCTTACCAGGCCACAGTAGAGGACAATGCAGCCACTTTTGATGAGAACTGATAGACTAAGATCAGAAAGAAGAGGAGAACCTCCCCTATCAGTGGACTTGGGGAGTGGCATGCATGCAGAAAGGGGAGGGAGGGTGGGATCGGCAGGGGAGGAGGGAGGGGCTTATGGGGGGATACAAAATGAATAAAGTGTAATTAATAAAAAAAAAAGCAAAAAAAAAAAGAGGTGTCTTATGATATACCACCAGAGGAGATGGGGAAAATAAATATCTCTCAAATAAACAAATACCCATCAGCAAATACAAATGAGACCTGTAATATCAGAAAAATAACTAAGTTACTATACTAAAGTTTTGGCTCATAATAGCACCTGCGCTTGAAAGATCTAAAGAAATTCTCCACATTAATCAAGACAGGAAGTCTCCCGGAGCTCGCTTTCAATTAAAAGCAGAATCATTACAATTAATTTGCCAGTTGCATCTTTTCAACTATCACGGTTTAAGCTTCCTGCTTGGACTGCCATGATGCCTACAGAAAGTGCCGCATGCTCCTATCCTCCCTGAGATGATGCCTTCTTCAGTCATCTCCGAGGATTATCGCTTTCCCTATCTAAGGGGACATGGAGTTAGTGAGTCCATTTTGCATCATCTCATATTTCTTGTTTACTGAGTATATAATCTGTGTCAGGTGGAGATTACGCACAATTCTTACAATGACACTACCATGTAGTATTCTTGTCTCAGCTCCAAATGAGGAAAAACAACTTATTTTGTTTAAACATTTGTGGGTTTTTTTGTTTTGTTTTGTTTTAGCAAATGGCTTAGCTAAGCTTCCATCCTAGGTCACATGAAATCAGAATATGCCATCATCCTAGTGATGGGCTGTGCTGCTAAGCTCAAAGCAATCCCCGTACTCTGCCCAGATGTCCCACATCAGAGAGGATGTCCTGGCTAGGGTGAAGGTTATGAAACTTTGTCTTCGTTTGTCTTCCCACTCTGTCAGCTTTCTTAAAGCTAAGAGATTCAAGTCGTCTCTGAGCAGACCTTTCCCATCAGAGCCCCTTTAATTTCTGCCCTTATTTATTCTGTTCAGAGGTGGGACTTTGGGTTTAGTTGTCTCTAGAATGTGTTCCCAACTCAAAGCAATGGCTGAAACAAACTATGTCTCACTTCTGGGCTTTCAGTGCTTTTAAAGAAAACGTCTTTCTTTGGTGAGTGAGGTGGTAGTGGGGTAAATTGTTCTTGGTACCACAATATGTTTTATTCTATCTAAGATTATCTGCGTGAAGTACTAGAAAGGTTTTGTCTTACGCAGCGGCATTCGTTGCATCTCCTAATTTCCAAATTAGAAGTAGACTCTTGGGCAGATCAGACATACTGTGGGCTGTTTGAGTTGGTTTTTCAAAACACGTGTAAAGCTTTAGTTTGCTTGTTTATAATCAAAAAACAAAATAAAAGTACACAAATGTGCATGGTGATAGATGGATATATAAAAAGGCAAGAACGGAAAAATAACATGTAGCTTCCTTTTCCTAGATTCAAAACCATAACTATATAGATGATAGATAGATAGATAGATAGATAGATAGATAGATAGATAGATAGATA